CTGGGCCTTTTGATACTTTCTTTGGTTCCTTGCAGAGGGATGTTTCACTGCTTCAGAATGTTTCTCTGCCTGGAGCTTTTCCCCTTGGAGTTGTGCTTCCCAGAGTTTTGTTGAAGCACCAGGAGACTTGGTTGCCAGAGAATGCCATGGCACGTGGTAGTTTTCCAAGCTGGTTTCCACTGGTTCCCCCCACCCACACAGAGGCACAAAGGAGTCCTGATATTGGTGCTTGCCTGCTACACCACCTGGGGTTCAGGATCTCCTGTTGGTATGCTGAAGTAGGGCTTTCTGCTAGCTTTCTGGGATGTCTCCTGTTCTGTACTGCTCCTCTTCCCCCAGGGCAAGAGGGGCCTTTCCTGTTAATTCCTCTAGCTTCCTGGGCTACAGGACTGCTGCACCCTGTCTTTCTGCTGGTTCAGCTGTTTCAGGGTTTTTCCTGGGGTGATATTTCCTGGGTATTAGAGGTTAATAAGGGAAGGTGAGAGCGACTTACTTCTTACTCCGCCATCTTGGCTTCTGGAAGCCTCTCTCATCTTAAATCTCTCCCTATCTACTTATTATTTTCTTGATGCCTAAATATATATTCAGTCCTTTATCTTATTCAATTCAATTCAACAAGTACTTATTAAATGCCTGCTGTGTGCATAGGGACTGTGTTAGGCACAGGGAATAAAAAGGCAAAAAGGAAACAATCTTTGTTCTTGAGTGGGGAAATAGTAATCCTTCCACATGGTAAGCAGTATGTCCTAGTCTAACTTATGTAATACCAGCAGCAGCTTCCTAGACTGTCTCCAGGTAATAACCTCTAATGTCTAATCATCACTGAAGGTTCCAAGGTCCAGAGCCATCATGGTTGTCTCCTTTTGCAGGACTCCAAAGTTTTCCCTGGTGTCTTTAGTATCCAGGCAACCACATCCTCACCGGCAGCTTATACACTGCTGGCCTGAGTTCTAAATGCACTGTAATGGTTGAGTTGGAGTCCCAGATCAAAGAGTCACAGTAACTCTCACTCAGCATTCTGCAAATTTGATGTCTGTGCAGCTACTTTGGACATGTCTGGTATGGTTGCCATAAGAAAAGTTCATTCTTTTTGAAAATTGTGCCTCCACAGGACCATAAGTAATGAAACTCTGTTTGTCTTAATTCCCCTTGGGCTGCACAAGTCACACAAGCTTTTCTCTCCTTTGGTGCCTTCTAGGTAGGAAAAATAAAAGACAAGCAGGTATTTCATAACAATTGAAGAGCTCTTCCTTCTCTTTTTGGTAAATAGTAATGATCCCATCCCCCCGTCCTCTCCCAAGTGGTGGTACTATCCCTTCTCTTCAGTATAACTAAAAGCAGAATAGAAACATACATATAGAGAGTGGAGGATTAGTACCTTCCACATGAAAAGGACTGATATTGTAGTTATAGATAGTATAGGAAGTTTTCCTGTGTACAAAAGCACCAACCCCTACCTTGGCCCACATTCCTCTCATCATGGTCAAGGATTTTAAATGTAAATCATTGACATATATTTCACAAATTTATCACAAATTGGCTCATATTTTGTCCCTATCTCATTAATATTCTGAGCTCCTCCATGACTTTCTGTGACTCAAAACAAAAACAAATTCACATTATAATTTAGAGTATATTTTACTATATAAGATAAAAATTTAAAAGATCTCTGAGCAACTGAATACAGCTCAGGTGAAAAGTCTGTCATGCCCTTCCACTCCCAGCCATAGAGAGCTGAGACCTCACAAATTTCCCTTTTTACCCAGAAAATTATCTCTGTCCAGGAAACTCTCAAAAAGCTGATGACCCTGAGTGACTAATGAAGACTGTACTTCAGTGCGACTCCAAATGTTTTTGTAGCCTCAGTAGTCAAATCTGAGGAAGAAAGGGAAGAAATCTCAAAAATATCCACTACTGCCTCTAGGACTTGAGGGCCCACAAACTCATGCTTTAAATTCATTGTCCATGTTGTAACTCAGGCTGAATTTCCAGTCCAAGCAGTTTGTAGGCTTTGGCCATAGGCACTTGCTGTAGCTGGGGGTGGGGGGAGAAAGAGGAGGAGAGAGACAGACAGACAGACAGACAGACTGTTGTAACTTATCTGAAGGGTGACCTCTATCCAACATGCTGCACTGTTCTTTAGGTATCTCTAGCATGCTTCTCTGGTCTGTCTGCCTGGAATGATAATGCATGAGTATCTGCCATGGGGCCACAAACACTCTAGTTAGTCTCTTAGGTATTTAATTGCTCTGTTCAGAGGAATAATTTTACAATAATTCCATTACTTATAACTTTATAATACTGAGTACTTTCTTGAAAGCTCTTGGAACTATTTTGCCCTTTTGGTGAGAAGCAGGTCCAGATTGAAATTTCTTTTTGTTGGTTCCTGTACCTTTTGAGGGATGAAAGATTACAGAGGGCTTTAAATACCAGGCATTATTATCTTAGTTCCCTTTCTGAATCAGGCACTGTGAGAGGAAGAACCTTTGTACCACAAGCTATAGTAATACTTAACCTAATCCTCATGCCTGGGCCCTGGTGTTGGTGATGGTGACTGTTCCCAAAGGAGGAAGGTAGAAAATCTTTACTTGACCTTTCTATCCCCTTAGGGCATTTTCCTACATTTTGGTCTTTCAACTCCTACAAAGTTAGGTACACTCTCAGCTTCTACTTCCTCACCTCAACCCTTGCAAGTATGGCTTCTGACCAATTTCTACTGAAACTGCTCTCCAAGGCCATAGGTGATTTTAACTGCCAAATCCAATGGCCTTTTCTTAGTCCTCCAACACTCTTTGACCTCTACACTTTTGATACTGTTAATGCACCCCTTCCACATGGATATTCTTCTTTTTAAAAAATTTATTTATTTTAATTTATCAACAATCACTTTCATATGCTTTTAAATTTAAAAATTTTCTCCCCCTTCGTCCCCACAACCCTCCCCAAGATGGCACACAATCTGATATAGGCTATACATATACATTCCTATTAAACATATTTTTACATTAGTGATGTTGTAAGTAAAAATTAGACCCAATAGGAGGAACCATCAGAAAGAGGAACCAAAACTCAACAGAAGAGAAAAAAATAGCAAATAGGATGCTTCGATCTGCATTCAAACTCCATAGTTCGTTCTTTGGATGTGGATAGCATTTTCCATTATGAGGCTTTTGGAGATGTCTTAGATCCTTGTATTGCTGGGAAAGGTTAAGTGTATCAATATTAGTCATCGCACAATGTGGCTGTTATTGTGTACAACGTTTTCTTGGTTCTGCTCACTTCACTTAGCATCAGACCATACAAGGCTTTCCAGGTTTTTCTGAGGTCAGCCTGTTCATCATTTCTTATGGCACAATAGTATTCTACTGGATACTCTTCTTTCTCCTATTCCTCCTGCCGGTCTGACCATTTCTCAGTCTCTTTTCCTGGTTCATCAATCTTTCATTCCCTAAGTGTGGGTGTGTCTCAAAGCTCCATCCTGGACCCTTTCCTCTTTTCTTCCTATACTCCCTTGGTGAGCTCCATAATTTCCATAACTTCAATTTTTACCACTGTGCAGATGACTCCTAAATCTATATCTCCAACCGTACTCTCTCTTCTAAATGTTGGTCCTGCTTTCACCAACTACCTGCTGGATACTTTCATCTGCTGGCACCTCAAACTCAACTGTCCAAAATGGAACTCATCATCATATTCCCAAACCTGCCCCTTCTCCCAAATTCCTCATTTCTGTGGAGGGCACCACCATCCTCCCAGACACCTTGGTTTGAAACCTGAGAGTCACTTCAACTCCCATAACAAATCATTTTTCAAGTTTCAGATTCTTTATTCACAATATCCTTTGTCTCTACCTCATTTTTTACTTCCATGGCCACCACCCTCATTGTCTGGATTCTTGCCATAGTCTCCCAATTGTTTTCTCTATGTCCAACCTTTCCAGTCTCTCCACTCTCTCCAATCCATCCTTCACCCAGCTGCCAAAAGAACATTCCCAAGGTTTGAGAGTAACCATGCCACTCCTCTACGCAAAACCCTCCAGTGACTTGTAGCCTCTAAGATAAAATATAAATTCCTTTCCCTAGCACTGAAGGACCCCTGTAATCTCTCTTCAACCTACTTTTCCATCCTTATTTCCCACCCACCCCCCTTTCCTGTACTCTGCATTTTAGCCAAACTAGACTGTTAGCTGTTTCTGAATTTATGCCATCTTCTACATTCAGGTATTTACCTGGAGGGTATCCATCTCCCCCAAATCTGGAATGATTCCCCAGTTGACCCTTCCAGAAGACTTATTTTCTTTCAATTACCTCCTCCATATAGCCTTCCTAGATCCAGGTCATCTGAAACTCTTCTCTCCCAAAATATTCTCTGTGCATTTTGTCTAGCTCTTGCCTTTGTCCCCATCACTCCCAAACTTGTATTACACTTAATGTGTAATTGTCCCTCTCCCTCTTTCCTCTGGTTATGGAAGTTCCTTGAGGACAGGAGAAGTTTCAGTATTTTCTCCATAGCCACCTAGCTCAGAGCTTTGCATATAATAAGAGCTTAGTAAATGTTTGCTGAGTCTTGGAGGTTAGGGAGGGGAAGCACTCTCACTGAAAGGGAGATAGATGAACTTTCTCTTAAGCACAGTAGTGTTTGAGACACCATTTCATAGGGACTAGATGGATTTTTTTTGGGGGGGGGGAAGGGACTGAGGTCTTAGTAGTCTCTACTGAACTCTAGCAGGCAGGACTGGTGTCCCAAAACCGAGTTCTCAAGGCCACCACAAGAATCCTTTCAGAGTGGGGCCTGACTAAGGGGATTGGATTTCAGCTTCCATCTACCCTCCAGCCTTCCTCAGCATGGGTCCCCTCCCAGTGCCTAGCCACTCCCAATAGACATCACCCTCTTCCCTCCCTTCCCCCCCCCCACAGCTCACAATGTCCTCCCCCTGTCCAGGCTGGGGTGCAAGGCAAACAGGAGGTTTTTGAGGGGGATGGGCTGGGTGGGCGGTTTTCCCAGAGCAAGGAGTGGAGCGGGGCCGAGTTGGCGCCAGCTCCCACAGATAAAGACACTCCTGGCCAGCTGACCATCTCGCTCCGGCCAGCCACAGCCCAGGGGCCCACACAGGAGATGCTTCCCTGTCCTGTGGGCAGCACCCCATCTCAGCAGGGTGACGTGACACAGAGAGAAGCCAGGACTTCTCCAGGGATGCCTGGACTGGGCGGCCACAGCAGCGGATCTGGGCTGGCACTGGGCACTGACAGGAAGAGGAGCCGCCTGATGAAGGCAAAGCAGGGACTGTGGGGAGAGACTAGCTGGGGCAGCCAGAGATGGAGCAGACCTGGCCCCACCATCTATAATCCCAGAGCCAGGAGCTTGGCTGTTGGCAGGGTAAGGAGAAAGGGCATCCCTAGAGAAGATCAACAAAGGCCTGACCCACCAGGGCCAAGGGGAAGATATAAGGGGTGTGGGAGTAGAACAGGGAGAGTCTCCATGTGGAGAGTATGTCAGGAGGGTGGCAGCTCTATCAAAGGTGAGGCGCCATGTTTGAGGGCTGGAGTTAATAGAGTCAGTGCTAATGCTCCTCTCCCAGAAAGGGGGTCATTGGAGCTCTTGGAGTTCAAGGGCCAGTTTTTGGCATGGCAGGCACCTATTCCTGAATGGTAAGTTGGAAAGAATGTTGGCTGTGGAATCCAATGGGGAAACCAGGTCAGTTTCAGTCCCAGCCCTTACTTGCTGTATGACCACAGGCAAATAGATTCACCTCTTTGAGAGGTTCTATTTTCCCATATAAAATTGAACTCATAATACTTGCACTACCTGCCACAGGGTGGTATAAGGAATGTACTTTGTAAAATGCAAAGCACTATAGAAATGTTAGTTATTATTGATATTGTTATTCACCTTTCCACAGCTTGGCTCTAAGCCCAGTCAAGGACTGGACTTATGATTCTAATACCTAAGTTTTGGGGTGGAATAGGGGTTCAGAATGGGGTTCAGTATCAGTCAGGGGCTCAGAACTGGCTTCAAGAAGGAGTTGAGATGGGCTGGAACAGTAAGGTAAAGGAGCCAAGTAGTGTATTTGAGAGAAAGAACAATATTGTTAATTCTTCTCCATCCTGATCCATGCACTACACAGGGCGAGTCCAGTCCCGAGAATGCAGCCCGTGAAAGGAGTAGGGTAAGGACTCTGCGTCAGGCCTTTCTGGCCCTGCAGGCAGCATTACCTGCAGTGCCCCCAGACACCAAGCTCTCCAAACTGGATGTACTGGTCCTGGCCACTAGCTACATAGCCCATCTTACCCAAACCCTAGGCCAGGAGCTGCCAGGGGCAGCTCGGCCCCCCTTCCTGTGTGGACTCCGCTACTTGCACCCTCTCAAGGTAACTCTATGAGATACTTCTCACTATGATAGGGGGTGGAGGATGCCAGAAACAGTAGGGTCTTACCTGGGGCTTAGGATTCCTCTTTGCATAGGAAATACTATGTCTGGAGCTGGCAGATTCCGGCTTTCTTGAGGGCAGTGGCAGGGGATGGGGATGGGAGTGGGGGAGGGTTGGTGTAGAGCTAGGGAGGGTCCAGGTTATGTGTAGGGTTGTAAGGAGGAGCCAAGAACAGATGTTGGAAAAAGGAGCATAGTATAGTGAAAAGAGAACTCAGAGCCAGAAGACTGGAATTTGAAGCCCTACTGAACTATTTTACTAGCTAGGTGATCATGGGCCAGCCCTCTAGGCTTCAGCTCCCTTTTCTGTCAAATGAAGGTCTTAGACTAGATGACCTCTGAGGTCTCTTGCAGCTCTGAGCTGCTGTGATTCTAAGGCTGACCCTGTCTGCCTCCTAAATAGAGACTAATAATAGCCAGGAAGACACTTGGTTGGCTGGCCAGCCCCCAGTCATTATTTCCTAACACCATTGTTCAGCCCTCCCTTTGATGGAAAACAGGTTTGGGGACCCGGCTGCTTAACCAACATGTCCCTATGTACACAGCAGCACACTCTCTTTAGAATATAGGTGGTAGGTGTATGGGGAAGGGGAAGCCCTTATTCCTAGAAAAAAATATTGTAACGGCGGTTAACTGTGTTAAATAGCATCAACAAAAATTTGGGTTTATTAAAAACTTCTTCCACTAAAATCCTATTCTGAAGCCTTACCATGGTGGGGTTGTGACCGTGGATTTAGGAAGACAGCTTGGCATATCATTATTATCATTTTCAAAGATTGTGCCTAGTAGAGAGCAAAACCTCTAAGCAGAACTCCTGGGCTGGAGAGGCTTCATGGACAGTGTCTGTTATCCCAAGGCCCTGCCTAACTAAATTTGGTAAGGCTCATCACCAGTTTGGCTGCAGGGTAATGAATTATTTTTTCCCTCTTCTTAAAAAAAAAAAACACAACAGCTAACATTATATTGAACTTTAAGGTTTTCAAATCACTTTACATAGATAGCCTATCCTCGAAACAACCTTATGAGATAGCTACTGATATTGCCATTTTACAAATAGGAAAACTGAGCCTGAGAGGTTAAGTGAATTGTCCAGGGTTATAAAATTTGTTAAGTGTAGGAAGCAGGATTTGAACTAAGGTCTTTCTCTCTCCAAGCCTAACTCTATGCCCTATACCCCCATCACTGCTTCTCATTTATAACCCTAACAATCATCCAAAAACCTAAGAGAGGTGGTGAGCTATGTTGGAAGACAGATTACCTAGAAGTACTGGAGTAGGGAAATTTAGCTCAAAGAAAAGAATCTGAATCCAAGGGGGTGAGAATTTTGAATGAGGATCCTGACATCACACAGGTAATGCAGCTGACTCAGATCAGGGAGAAGATAGAATGAGACTACTGTTAGTTTAAGAGGTAGGGGAAGGGCTGGGCCATCACCTCACTGTACCTTTCATCCTGCTAAAGAGGGAAGGCTTCAGATGTTAGAGAAAGCCAACCTCCTCGTTCTCTAGATGAGGAAACTTGGGCTCAGGAGGAGAAGTGGTTTCTAAGGACAAACAGCTAGTTAAGTGTAAGAGGTGGAGCTCAAACCCAGGGCTTCTAACACTGAATAATGAATGCTCTTTATTTATTTTATATTAATTTAATGTATATAAATTATATATTTATTATATTATATATTAATATTATTTTATTATCATTAATTTTATATTAACATTAATGTATTAATATTTTATATATCAAATATTACATATTTAATTTATATAAATTGATTTTTATTAATTTAATGCTCTAACACCGAATAATGAACTAATAAATGCTTTTTCTACTAGAGCAAGCAGTTCTCAAACTTTCTGGTCTCAGGACCTGCTTACACTGAAAAACTACTAATGACTCCAAAGAGCTTTTGTTTATGTAGGTTCTATCAATATTTACTGCTTTGGAAGTAAAAAAAAAATTTTATTATGAAAATAGTTTTGATCTTGCATACACCTTGAAAGGGTCTTGGGGATCCCCAGGGATCCCAAAGGGCCACACTTTGAGAATGGCCCTATTATAACATGTTGCCTTTTAGGGGTGGAGGTAAGGACTATTTGGCCTCAGGGAGTTAGCCTTAAAATTGCCATGAGAAGAATTTAGGCTTGATCTCAGGAAAAACTGGCTAATAATTAGAACCTTCCAATAACAGACTGGACTGCCACCAGAGTGGGTGGGTGCCCCCTCACCGGAGGCCATCGAGCAGAGGCTAGAGGACCAGTTGGTGGCTATATTAGTGTCCTCACTTCTTTTGAGTGTAGGCTGGATTAGATAGCCGCCGAGGTCTCTCCCAACCCTTAAATTCTATGAAATCTCTGATGAGCTATGTTAAAGAGACAACGGCTCAGATTTTATCTTCCTTGGGGACCTCATGAAAAAGTTTGGGATGGAGCAGTACAGGGAGTAGACAATAGTGCAAAGCTGACCTAGCCCTTTCACTGGCCAATTAAATTTAGGGCAGAAGACTGGGTACTCATTTCATGGCCTTAAAAAAATTTGAGGAAAAATTTCATTCTCTTCTTACTTTTGGATTTCAGGTTGAGCCTCTTATCAGTTTTAATTTGTCCATCCAATCAGCACTTATCATCAATTGTGTGCCAGGTATTGGGGAAACAAAGACAAATTAATTTAGTCCCAGCCCTTCTGACCTTGCCTTTCTTGGGGGAGTGGGAGAACACATTCACATGGATATAAATACAAATTAAATGCAAAGTAATTTTATGAGTTGTATGAAGTTTAATGAGGTAGAGATGCTAGAGGAGAGTTGAGTTTGGGTTCTAAGAGTTAAGGGCTTGCGAGAAGCTGATTCAGGGTATCTGTCACGGTAACATTACTTATTTTGTATCCCTATGTCTTGCAGAAATGGCCAATGAGATCTCGCCTCTACGCTGGAGCCTTGGGGCCATCTGGCCTTGACCCTACCAGCGGTACTCCTGGCCAGAGAATGTGGGAATCAGCAGTCAGGCCCCAAGTCCCTGGAGAGGCGGAGTTCATTCCTCCCAAGCCAGTCTCACCAACTTGCAGCAAATAACTTCATCTGTTTCCCTTGTGCTTGGCCCCTTAACTTAGTATGGGGCCAACGCTCTCAACCTGGCCTTACTTATTCCTTCTATGACTTTCTAGCCTACTGGTCCATTTCAGGGTCTTGCTTTCAGAATCCCCAGTACACATATAACCTTTGTGAGGAATCCAGTTGGGGCCTAGGGAGCTGGCAGAGAGCTTTTTGACTGAAGGGCAACAGGGAAAGTGGAAGGCAGAAGTACCAGTACTTTATTCTTTTGAGATATAGCTTCAGGTGACTCAGTTACCATTGTTGGGAGTGACAGCTGGGTGGAGTGAATCTCTTCAAAATTATCCCTCCCTCTTGCCTCTCTTACAAAACCTACTGAATTAACTCTCTGTAGAGCATGAGAATAGCCCCAGCCAAGGGCAAAGGTAGAGAAGACCTGGATGGCAGGTATAGCAAAATATTTAGCACCACTGTGAATTAAGGAGGGTAGGCTGTTCACTGTGATCTTGGCAAGTTCAAAATTGTAACAGGAACCAGGCACTGATCTTTTGGCCCAAGGACCACATAAGCATCACTGGGAATTATGGAAGAGTGTGGTCAAGAGGACTAGGTGTTTCTAACATAAACCAAATCTGAGGTGAGCAGATAGCCTTCCTCAGGCAGGACATTCATGGATTCACACTTCTTATCCTCCCAGATAAACGCCCCTCTTTTTGTCCTTTGCTGGGCCCTGCTGCTTTCCTTCCCCATTCCTTTTCTTTCCTCTGGAAGTCATATTTACATGTAAACAAACCCCCAGCTCTTACATTCCTGATTTCCAAAGAAAAGTCCCGGCTGTCTTGTCCATCTGCTTCAGTAGTACCAGATCCTAAACAGAAAGCTGGAAAGGCCCTAAGGGGCCATCTAGTCCAACTCTCACATTTTAGAGTGAATTAAACTCCAGGGAGGTTGTGACTGCCTGACGTCACCTGCACCTGAGGCAGGATTTGAACCCTGCAAATCTGTGTCTGATAAATCTAGAACCAGTGCTCTTTCCACCACACATCCTACTTCCACCCAACTTTTTCAAGACTAGACTCCTTTTGCCACCCACACTTAGGGATCTGGAGACAAGGCTTCTCCCTAACAGGACAAACATTGGACGACCTGCACTGGTGTATCTGAAATGTGGTCATTATAACCAAAAGTTCTCTGCCCTTAAAGTAACAGGGAATGGAGCCCAAAGCCCATATGGAGGCAGTTTGATTCTCTAGATCAGTCTTCAGCCTAAAACCTTATATCTAAGGGTGTGACTGAGGCATGGGGATGAGAAGAGAGATTTTACTCTCCTCCCAACTTGTCCTGACATAGAAGCCACTAGAGTCATAGGAATACTAAGAAATATTTATTTTTTGGTACGTAAGACAAAAATGGCCATAGACCTGGATTCTAGGATGAAGAGTAGCAGAGCTGGGGGTCAGGGCACAGAAGAGAATGAGGCTAGAGGAGGAAGATCAAATTGAGGTGGGGTAGAAGAGGAAACAGAGAGGGTCTGAGGTCTGGGGCTGCCTAAGATGTGGAGGAGCAGCTGAGACGTGGCTGGAAGCCATGAGGAGGAGGCCTCAGCCAAGGCTGAGCTCATAAATCTGCTTGGGACCAGGCGATGGGGAGCTTGGATGGAGCTGCTTTGCAGGCAGCTGCACTGGGGGCGGGAGGGAATTGGGGGCTGTGGAGTGTCCAGGTGTGGGAGGAGGGTGTGAGCACAGTGTTCCTTACTCCAAGACCATAAAAGTCCAGCTCAAATATTCTATTTTTAAAAGTCGAATAGCAATGTCTTCTTCATTGGGCTGAGATGGCCAGGAAGGGGGCTAGGGGGTTGGGTGAGGATTGTGAAGGGGGAGGAAGAAGTCTGGGAATGTACATTCCAGGGATGAAGGACAAGGGAACAATCTTTCCAGGGAAAAACAGAAGAATTAGAGTTCGCTAGCTTAGACTGTTCGATTGCCTATTTCTCCCTTGACTTTCTCAGTAAATATTTCTTCCTGCTCCAAGTCTGAGAGAGGCATGGACCCCTTACTTTAAGTCAGCATCACACACTATACAAAGTCTTTTCCCTGAGAGGGAAGGCAGAGATGGTAGAGTTTCACCAGATCAGAGGCAGGGTGGTGGAGGGAGGCCCCTGATCTTGCCCCTACCCAGTACTTTCAGGATCTGATTGTCATACTTTCCTTTGGGGCCCAAGAGCTCTCCGAGGTGCTTAGGAATGACCCCTTTAAATCTCATCACAGGTGCCAGAGAGCACCCCTTCAAGTACAGCCTGGCCCCTACAAGTTCCTGCTTACCAGAGAAAAGAAGGCCTGAGCCATGGCTGACAAAGGAGAGGAAGAAAGTGTGCAAAGGAAGACTGGGGACTTGAGAAAATGGAATTTCCCAGTGACTGCTTTTCAAGAAGAAAAGTTCCTGGGGCAGCTAGGTGCTGCAGTGGATAGAGCACCAGCCCTTAAGTCAGGAGGACCTGAGTTCAAATCCAGCCTCAGATCAAACACTTGACACTTACTAGCTGTGTGACCCTGGGCAAGTCACTTAACCCCAACTGCCTTTAAAAAAAAGAAGAAGAAGAAGAAGAAAAGTTCCCCAGATCAAATTCCCACAGACTCAGATTTCGGTCCCAGCGTAGGCAGGCAAAGAAGGATCTGTTAGGTATGCTACACCGTAAAGAGAGGTGCCTTCAGGATGGGCACAGGACAGCTGCAATAAAGAAGAGGCTAGATGAGTCCAGATAAAAGAACTGTATTCCCCAGGGCAAATGTGTATGTGGAAAAGCCTCAACAAGAGACAGAATGACATTCAGGTGGGATGGCACAGAACAGGAGATCAATCGGGACAAGTAGTGTAAGACCAAGATCAGTTAGAGGGCAGGAGGTAGCCAGCCTGGTCAGTGCTCTTTGCTTTTGATTCTAGTCAGAGCCTGTCTTGTCCCTATTTGTTCCTGTAGAGTGTGCTAGAAGCTTCCCCTACCAGTCTAACAGGCCTAATAAAACCTTTAGTTCTGATTAGCAACAGGAGCAAAACAGATGAGTTTTCCACCAGGGGTTTCTTCTCAACCTCTATCTGGAGTTGGGGTTGGAGGGAGTGCAGGGTTTTAAGTTAAACCAGTCTCCCACAAGATCCCTTTTAATCTCCCTGAAGAAGGCCTTCCTCCCTAGGTACGATGTACTGGCTCCTCCTCTGTTATAGACTCCTTTCTGCATAAGGGCATGACGAAGTCCAACAATAACAGAAATAACAAGACAGTGAGTGACAGGAAATCATGGCTGCAGCTATTGTGTAGGGTACATCATGTGGAAAGATGGTCCTTTGGTGCATACTGGGTCACCAGGCTCAGATATCCCGCTGGAATAGACACAGGCTTGCTTTTGGTTTACTGGGAGAGAGAGTTGATGTGTTTGCCTCATGGGTAGTAGAGGGAGAATGAGAGACAATGGATTCTCTTCTGCTCCCAGGTCACAGTGATGTCTCCTGTAGTATGAAGGCATAACCATGGTCCTCCTGGATGTGGCCTTGCTCAGGTACTACCACCATTTCCTCTTCCCCACAGCCAGTCAGCTTTCCATTGCTTATCTTCTCTGGTATCTTATCCGTCTTATAGGAAAGGTCCTGGAGATAAAACAGGTGTGGTATAGTTAGGATGCTGGAACTGGGGAGACAAGGACCCTGGGGAAAGGTTCCAGTCCCCATTTTGTACAGATGGGAAAATGCAGGAGATGAATCTTTCCTCTATACTGTGGGGACCAAGAAATATGGCTTAAGTCAGGAATCTCCTATGAGGTATTTAGAAAGATCTCAAACTTGTCAGAAAAGGAAGAAAAAGTGGGGAGGGAAATTAGACAAGGGAAGGAAATGAATATGGTGGGAAGGTGGTGGAGAGGACATGGAGGAGGATAAAGAACAAACGTAGAAGGGTATTTAAATACTACATGTATTACTTGGAGATAGTCCCGGCAGGGCAGACAGTTCCGACAGGAGATGGGCAGGAGGGCAAACAGCCGTGGCAACACTGGGTAAACTGTCCGAGGGTTTGGGGGCTGGCCCCTTGTCCCACCTAAAGGCCAAAGGTCCTAATTAGTCTCTCTTAGGCCCTCAGCTCTCCCCAGGTCCAAAGCAATCATTTCTTTCTTTCTTTCTTTCTTTTTTTCCAATTTATTTATTTGTAGTTTTCAACATTTACTTCCACCACATTCTGAATTCCAAATTTTCTCCCCATCTCTCCCCTTCCCCCCCACCATGACGGCCTGCATTCTGATTCCCCCTTCACCCAATCTGTTCTCCCTTCTATTACCCGCCCCCCCCATCCCCTTCCCCTTCTATTTTCCTGTAGGGTAAGATAGATTTTAATACCCCTTTACCTGTGTATGTTATTTCTCAGTTGCATGCAGAAACAATTTCTAACATTCATTTCTAAAACTTGAGTTCCAAATTCTCTCCCTTATTCCCTCCTCACCTACCCTCGTTGAGAAGGCAAGCAATTTGACATAGGCTATACATGTGCTGTCATGCAAAACACTTCCATAATAGTCATGTTGTAAAAGACTAATTATGTTTCCCTCCATCCTATCCTGGCCCCCATTTATGTTATTCTTTCCTTTGTCTCTGTCCCTCCTCAAAAGTGTTAAAGCAATCATTTCTTCATCAATGCTCTGTTATCCCAGTATGCTCACACATCTTAGATAAAAAGCCTGGTTATTATAGAAGAGCCAGAGAATTGGGACCAGCTGTCCCTCCTCCCAAGTCTATTACCCTCTTCCAGAATCACCCAGGCTACCTGCTCCTCCCAAAAACTCCTCTAACCCCTACTTCCTACTGTCCCCCATCATTATTTCCATCTGCCCCACCCCAGCTTGGTTTCTCCTTACCAGTGAGGAAACTGACAAGCAGTCCCACAACAATAACTGTGGTGGAATTGTGTGCACTGTACCATAAATAGGACAGGTTGTAGAATCGCTGCAGTCCTGTGGGCCTGAGGAGAGCAGGAGGGTAAGAGGGGAATACCAGCTTGAGGCATCACAACATTCTATGTCTTCCTCTTGTTATTCTACACCTAACACCTTAAAAGCACATTCCTAGGCCTACCCTAGGGTGACCCACCCTAGGATGGCCCCAGTGATCAGCAACCTGTCCCCCCAACCCCACCCCACCTAAGATACAGCTTTTACTCACGTGGACATTGCTGAGGGCATCACTGTAGTCATAGTGACATCTGTCGTATTTCTATATGAGGGGAAGCCAGTGCCATTGTGGGGAGGGAGCACTGTATTTGAGGTCATGCTGCTCACCATAGTCCCGATGCCAATCCAGAAGGCCATGATAAGTCCAGCCAGCAGACCCACCACTGCACCCTGCATCACATATTCCCACTTGGAATTCAGGGACTTCACCCATCCCTCCCTAGCACATGTTCCCTCTCCTCTCCACTGCCAAAACCAAGGCCCTGACCCAGCCTTTCTGTCCCTCCTCAGCCCTTCCCTGGGGCTACCTCTTCATCTGGCTGCCAGGGGGACACTTACAGTTGAGTTGGCACAAGGGAAGAAAAAGCCAAGGCAGAAGAGTCCAAGCAGAGGTCCCCCAACCATCCCAAAGATGCTTATTGCTGCCTGGAGAGGAAAGGATTAAACAAGAAAGATAAAGTAGCATAAATATTTAGTAGCTTCATAGATATCTGGGTACAGCTACTTCCTATTCATTCAAAATCCCCAGGGTTTGGAGAGTTCTCCCCATCCATTGCTTCACAAAGGCTAGAACAAGGACTGGAAGGGATGAGGGGGGAATCTCCTTCGGACTCCTTTCTGTGGGGCTAAGCTTTCTAGCTCACAGTTATAGGATTTAGAGCTCATCCACTCCACTCAATTTACAAATAAAAAACCAAGGTTAAATGCTGGAGCTGCCAAAAGAATTCTGCTTCATCAGCGTAAGTGGGCCTGCTGTCTCACAGGTGAGCATGAGTGGGTGACTAAGTAGAAACACAGAAGGTCATTCGTAACTATGGGAAGCCAACTCTTGGCTTGATCTCTTGTATCCCACCCTCCCCCCACCTTCCTAAACAAACCATACCTGCTCTTTCCCACTGTATTCCTCACCTGCAGCACAGGCCCCATTAAGGAGGAGAGATAGGCCATTCCGAGACATACCAGGCCATAGACTACAGCTAGAGAAAGAGAAAGGAAGAAGACAAAGAGATGAATCTTAATATGGAAGAAAGGAGGAAGAAACAGGACTTGTTTTCCTCTTCCTGCCTCCTTTTAAGGTTTATACTTCTATCACAATCCCAGGTCCTCCTACTCAGGAGCTTCTTTCTTTACCCTCCCAGGGGAGCTGAGGGCTTCTCTTGCTCACAGATACAAGAGCAGTTTATACTTTATGCATTGAATGAACTATGTGTTTAACTCACTAAGTAAAGAAGCCAACTCAGTCTGGGCTAGGAACAAGGGCTTAACAAAAGTAAAATCCCAATGGTAATGATAAATTTAGAAGTGACCAAAAAAAAAATACAAAAGGGCCAATTCAATTTAATCCAATAAGCATTTATTAATCATTTATTATGTGTCAGAGTCTGAGGACACAAAGAAAACCTCAGCCTTTGTCCTCTTGCTCTCAAGAAGTTTACAAGCTACTGGGGTGAAGGGATATGGGAACAAGGGCTTACCAAGGACCTTGGAAATCAAGGTGGCACGCTTCTCTGAGATATTGGGGAAGCGGGGTCGGATAAGATCTTCTATCGTGACTGTTGCGAGTGAATTGAAAGCTGAGGAGATAGTGCTGAAAAGCAAGATGAGGATGGAGGTTTGCTCTGGCTCCCAGGCTAAGCAGGGAGGTTTTTGCACTAAGTGGCCCGATTAGTTGTAGTGTACAGGGCTTGGGGCAAGATTGTGAAAATGTTACAGGACAGCTGTCACCACAGTCAACAGCTTGAACACCTGCCGGTGGATCAAGGAAATACCAACAACAGGCAGCCTTCTTTCTGGCTGGCAGAGCTCAAGGATAAATTCTGTTAAAGGGTCTTAATTTCAGGGAATGGCTTAGTGTAACAGGGAAAACTATCCATGAAAAAAAAAGGGGACACCTTCTGGAAGGTAGCCTTCCTATTTGGTCTGCATGGACAATGGAGTCTTTTGTCAAAGCTCAGGGATGCACATAAAGCCAGGCTACAGAAGTGTTCCACATACTGGGATTCCCTCTCAGGGCAAGCAGGGTCTGGTTCTCAACCTTTAGGACCCCAGAAGTAGGGCCAAGGAGCAGCCTCATTAACTCTGTAGGGAAAACCGGCCAAAGACTTACCTGAGAGAACCACTGAAGAGACAGGCAACAAAGAGCCCAGGTAAGCCAGGCAGCTCCCCCAGGACCTCCATCACAAAGTATAGGACCATCTGTGGATAGAGCAGTGCATTCAGTGGTCTAACAGCTGCTGTGATGGATCAAACACATGACCCACCCAACTCTCCCTGGGATATTATCAGGATATCCCAGCTCAAGGCATCCAGGAAAGCTAGGTCATCCCAATCCTGGAATGCAAAAGGACTGGGGAAAGGCTGTGTGTGTGTGTGTGTGTGTGTGTGTGTGTGTGTGTGTGTGTGTGTGTGTTTGGGGGTAGGGGAAGAGATTCTTAAGAGCGACTAGTCTGCTGTGGGGTATGGGAATGTTGCCTGTATGAATGTTTCACCATGCTATACCTTAATAGCATGGTTAGGAAGAGGAAGGGGTTCTGGATTTAGAGTTAGAGGGCCTGGTGTTAAGCCCCCAGCCCCCTCTGCTAGGTGCTGAGGGAGACACTAAAATGAATAAGATAAAATGGCTGCTCTCTCACAGGCTGGGAGGGGAATTGGCACAGGGCCTGGTACGCAGCAAGCTCTCAGTGCATACACCATCCGTACAGAAATGGTACAATGGGAAAGGTCCTGCATTTGTAATCAGAAGATCTGTGCTGCCTGTCAGATCTATGAAGAATTCATGACCAAACAGGAGATAGAGAACATTATGAAATGAAAAATGGATAACTTTGATCATATCAAATTGAAAAGGTTTTGCACAAACAAAGCCAATGCAACCAAAATTAAGAGGAAAGCAGAAAACTGGGAAAGAATTTTTATAACCAGTGTCTCTGATAAGGGCCTCATTTCTAAAATATAGAGAACTAAGTCAAATTTATAAGAATACAGGGTCATTCCCCAATTAATAAATGGTCAAATTTATCATCTGAGAACAGGCAGTTCTCGGATGAAGAAATTAAAGCTATCTATAGTCATATGAAAAAATACTCTAAATCACTATTGATCAGAGAAATGCAAATCAAAACAGCTCTGAAGTACCACATCACACCTATCAGATTGGCCAACATGACAAAACAGGAAAATGATACATGTTGGAGAAGATGTGGGAAAATTGGAACATTAATGCATTGTTGGTGGAGTTGTGAAATGATCCAACCATGTTGGAGAGCAATTTGGAACTATGCCCAAAGGGCTATAAAAATGTGTATACCTTTGACTCCGCAATAGCATTTCTAGGGCTGTATCCCAAAGAGATCACACAAATGGGAAAAGGACCCACATGTACAAAAATATTCATAGCAGCTCTTTTTGTGGTGGCAAAGAATTGGAAATTGAGGGGATGCCCATCAATTGAGGAATGCCTGAACAAGTTGTGGTATATGAATGCAATGGAATACTATGGTTCCATACGAAAGGATGAGCAGGCACACTTCAGAAAAACCTTGAAAGATTTGCATGAACTGATACTGAGTGAAGTGAGCAGAACCAAGAGAACATTGTACACAGTAACAGCAACGTTGTGTGATGACTAACTTTGATAGACTTAGTCCTTCTCAGCAACGCAAGGATCTAAAACACCTTCAAGTCTCATGATGGAAAATGCTATCCACATCCAGGGAAAGAACTATGGAGTTTGAATGCAGATCAAAGCACACTATTTGCTTTTTTTCCCTTCTGTTTTGTTTTGTTTCTTCTTTCTTGTAGTTCCTCTATTGGTTCTAATTTTTCCTTAAAACATGACTAATGTGAAAGTATGTTTAATAGGAAAGTATACGTAGGAAAGAAAAATTTAAAACTCAAAAGCGTATGGAAGTGATTATTGAAAACTAAAATAAATTAAAAAAAAAAGATCTGTGCTAGAATCCCAGGTTCTGCCACTTCCTAGTTACATGACTTTGGGTCAGTTACTTAACCTCAATTTTCTTATCTGTGCTGGGGATACAAAGACAAATAAAAAAGTCCCTGCCCTCAAGGAGCTTACATTCTACTGCTGTGAAAAGTGCTTTGTAAATGTGAATGTGCTGTGTATTACCGTTATTCTTATGCCAGTGCAGGACGATGGCCTACAGGAAGCTCACCTGGTCAGAGGAGACTTGAGCTTGCTCTGGTGCTAGGGGGTGGTCAAGGTCATAGACAAACATGACGAGACCAATGAGGCAGCCAATGCTGAGTACCACCTGCTGGCAGGGAAATACAGCGTAGCAGGAACTGCAAGAGAGTGGGAGTGGACGTCACAGAGTGCTGGACACAACAACCCAAGTCCCCCGGATAGTCTCAGAACAGGGCCCCCATGGTTCTCAGAACAGGGCTGCCATCTCAGGGACAACCATTCCAGCAGACTTCCATAGAATCCCTCCCCTCTTGTCTTTCCCTTTTCCTTCAACTCACAGAATAGCAGTCTTTTCACTACGGGAGCTGAGGTAGCGCTGTACCTGGGCCTGGTTTACTCCATATAAGGAGAGCATCATAAAAACTCCCCCAAAACACAGACTCCAGAAGGTGTGCCGCACAAATGGGTCTGGATTCAGGCTGCAACAGAGTGACCAGTAACTTTATGGTGGGTCCCTGGATAAAGACTCCCCACCCCCATTTAAGAAGGCACTAGAGAAGGGGCAGCTAGGTGGCACAGTAGATAGAGCTCTGGTCTTGGAGTCAGGAGGATCTGAGTTCAAATCCGGCTTGAGACACTTGACACTTACTAGCTGTGTGACCCTGGACAAATCATTTAACCCTGACTGCCTCACCAAAACAAACAAACAAATAAATAAATGAGCTAATGAATGAACAAATAAGTAAATAAAGCACTAGAGGAAAAGCAAGACTGGGGCCAGCCTGGGGTAGGGGTGGGGGAGGAATTGAGGGAGAACACAAATACTAGATATGCTAAGGGGAAAATCCAGGAGGGCTGTGGAAAGTGAATGTTTCAGTCAAGTAAAATAAGTCCTTCTGTTTCTCCCTAAAACCCTAAAAGTCTTGTATATATGTGCTAGAGATGGCCCTCGGACCATACCGCACTTTACTCCTCATGTAAAATCCTGGTTGCCCGTACACTTTCAATGCCCCAAGGTCTTCCTGTTGTCTCCCTTCCTTTCTTCAGTTACCAGACTTTTTTTTTTTGTCTTAGCATTCCACCTAGTGCTTCTCAATATATCTCTGAGGTCAGGTCACAAGTTCCCACATGCTACAGCTGCCTTGTTGGGAGCTAGGGAGTACTCACTCAATCCCAGAGATACGGCCATGCTGTGAAGCCACATCCCAAACATGCCCTAAGCCGCCCACCTTGGCAGCCCCCACGATGACAACAGCTAGCTGCCCCAGTAACATGACTACTGTCTGGAACACATCTGTCCAAATGACCGCCTTCAGCCCACCCTGTAGAAGAAAAGACAGATCTTACATAGCTCTTCTCTAAAACATCTGGAATCCGAGCCCACCCACTTTCCTCCTGGTGTCATGTTGCTGGTATCCTTTCAGGATCACTCCTACTTTTGCCACCCACTCCATCCCATCCTACCCCATTCCTCAGGGCACAGGGTACTTACCAGACTAGTATAGATAGTACACACAATGCCTAGAGCGAGCACTGAGCCCCACAGATCGAAGCCTGTCACTGTAAGCAGATAACAAAGTAAAATTCTCACTGAGGGGAGGGAGGTTCCTAGAGACAATTTATTTTTATTAAAATATATATATGTATATCTATAACATATGCATATATTTTTTTTCACATAACCTTCATTTTTTGAAATATATCCCTCCACTCCCTTCTGCTCTACTCTTGTAATAATAGAGTAAGAGAAACAGCAGCCCAGTATATCAACACTGTCTGACAGTATGTGTAACATACTATACCTATAGTTTCCCCACCTCTACAAAGAAAAGGGGAGATATATTTTCTTAATTCTTCTCTAGGGCCAAGGTTTGTTGTTATAACTGGAGTGTGCTCAGTTTTTTGTTCTTTCCTCAGACACAATTTAATTCAATTCAAAAACTTTTCAAATGCAGTCTTGAGAGGAACTTTAGTGAAGACAGATGCTTTGATGCATGTCTGTCTAAAGTCAAAGTGAATCATTCATTAGCTTTAAAGTACTTGAAAAATAACACCAAAAGCTGTTTATTAACCATTTAGATTGAGCAGTGATAAATTAACAAATTTCTAGTTACCCGAACAGCTATTTCTTACATACAGACTAGTCCAAAGGGCTTGGAAAGTGACAAACCTTCCCTTTCTACCCTGATTCTTATTTGGAAAGCTCTAACCTCCCTCATTTCTTGGGCATCCTGCCAGGCCTATATAGGAGCCTTGACTCTTTACCTGCATTGAGTGCCAAGGCTGGGGCATAAAGAACAACACCCATGTAGATCACCTGTTGGGGGAAGGAGGAAAGAGGAAGTGAGAAAAGGGGAGAGAGTCAGAGACGGAATAAGAAAGAGTGGGAAGGGGAGAGAGAGCTATATTTCAGCTCCAATATCCCACATTGCTCCCTTGTACCGAAGTACACTTCTTTTTCTCTATGTCTTCTTCTAGCCCTTGACTTGTCCCTATAGACCCCGTGCTGGGCTTAAGGTTTCAGAGTTTAGGGCAACAGCGCTATCTATTTATTTATGTGTGTGTGTGTGTGTATGTGTACACATTCTTTGTGCCAGTAGAGGCAAATGAGGGCAAGTTTATGTTAATTTCTTATGTATTCCTCTTTGCCTCATTTCCTATCCTCTTTTTAAAAAATTATTGATGCCCTTAAAAAAGAAATCACTGTGATATTACTCCAATAACTCCAAATAATAGAACCCTTTCTCGTAACAAAACATAGTCAAGTAAAACAAATGAAAAAATTGGCCATATCTGAAAAACATATGCCTTATTCCATACCTAATTTCCTATCTTTTTCCTACTTACCATCTGAAAGATGAAGGTTAGGGTTCCACACAGTCGCACAGTCTTAGTGAATCGAAGCTCCAGGTACTAGAATACGTCAGGGCGAAGAGAATCATGTCAAAGTCTAGGTCTCCCTACCTTCTCCTGAGCCCCATATCTCTGATATCATATTGTTTATGGAGGTACAGAGGGCAAGGAGTAAGAGGGCAAATCTTAGTTCCATCACAGAGCAGAGTTTGGGAATTCGACCCTATCCCTTTGTCTTTTTCAACCTCTGCTCTTATGGGATAGAAAAAACCCTGGGATATATGAGTCTGAAAGCCCACCACTGCTTCTCCTCCCTTCCTCCTCATCCCTGTATAGCCTTCTCTTTTCACTTACCTCATAAGCACTGGAGATATTCAGTCGGTAGAAGATGGGTATGAAGATATGGGCAGGCACCAGCAGACCTAGTAAGTAGGAGCAGCCTAGGAACCAATACTCAGTGCCAGAACGGTAGATCTCCGCAGGGACTCCCAGGAGGGCCACAGCTGACTGAAAGGTGGCAAGTAGAGATAGTGCCACAGGTAGGGAGCCCATGCTACGGTCAGCCAACAGGAACTGGCGGACTGTGTCCTGGCCCCTGCCTCGACGTGCATAGAACAGTCCAATTGCAAGTGATGCCACCAACAACAGTGCACATACTCCATAGTCCACAAGGGTAAAGCGAGATGGGGTTATTGGAGGGGCTGCTGTTGAAAGGGTTATGGTGGATGGACTTACCCCCGAATAGAATTCTCTGATGCCCATGCCCTGTACCTAGGTATCCCTCACAGATTCTGCAATGCTCTCCAGCCGTGCAAGCAAAAGATGAATTTCAACTACAACCTGGTGCCCAATCACTCTCCTCACTGTTCTCCTCCTCTGCCAGGGGGCATGGTAGAAGCCAAGCTGTCAAAGAAATCAGGGAATCCTGTCAAGGGAACTCATACCTAGTCAGGGCCAGATTCTTCCTACTCTCACATCCACTTCCCATGGTGTTTCCCATGCCTGAAGCCAGCCAATTCAGCCTTGGACTACAGAAGTATCTGAAAGCAGATACATATATCTCTTGTATACGTTAGGGAAGGATGGAATAGGGCAGAAAGCCAGCACATAGATAGGAAAGGAGACATCAAGGACTGATTAGAGTCTACGGATCTGTTCAAATTCAAAACCCTTAGAGTTACCACTCCAATAACTAGACAAAAGTCAACACAACACAGAACCAATAACTACAGTTCACCAAGCCAGTACAGCCCAGCCTGGCGCCAGAGCCCAGCAGGGAACAGGAATGTAAGATTAATCATGTTGTTGTTACAATCAGTACTTCTGGTCATGAGCTCCCAAACTCTCCTTGTCCTTCTTGGCATCTCTGTTGTGTCTTCTCAGTGCCCCCCTGAAGCAATCCCAATGTCCTAGAAATTCTCTGCTGGGATTCTCCTGAGGCTACTACAAATGCTATTCTTTACAGGCCTAGTTACAAACAATATGGCAGCCCTTCCTCCAAACCCTCCCCAGAACTAGTTTCTCCCTAGCAGAAACACCCAAGAGTACCGGTGAAGCTAAGGGGCTCAGAATTAGAGCAGGAAAGAAGATCAAGGGAAAGTAAACAGGATAGTGACCTTCCGGGGCAGACACACCTGGAGATGAGATCCCTCTACAGAAGCTGTGCTAGGCTGGTTAAGTGGCCAGAGTTGTCAATCTTCCTAGGGATGGAGCTCTGACTAGAGACTAACAGGTCCTGATCTTTTAAGTCGCTGAGGTGGGGCCAGGGGTGAGGGCGTGAACAAATTCCTGTAACTAATGATTAAGTTCCATTACACCCTTTCATGGAATAGATCTTAAAGCTTCATTTCCCCCAATACCTGGGAAGCAGTAACCCTATAGCCACAAAATTAAACCAAGATTAGAGAGGCCTAGGAGTGGGTGAATGGCGGAAGGAATGCCAGGGCTTCAGAAACGCTCCTAGAGAGCTTAGACTTGGCATTGTGCCAAAGGAGCCTGGTGGTAGGGTAACAGGCCAAAGGAAAAGGTGCTTCTTTAATCCCACAGGCTATGCCAGGCTACTGTCAGCATCAGGAGCTCTGACTCTGGAAACTTATATGTCAGCTTCAGGGGAGAACATAAACAATTTAGGGGAAACAAATGACCGTCAATACCACATATTCTCAATGCAGGACAGGAGAGAAATGTAAGAGAGATGTGATCAGTACAACAGAGAAGGAAACAAGGAAAGAGCTAGAATTCTGAGGGGAAGCTGAGAAGTGCTCTTGCTGCTACTCTGACCTTCTAACTTTTACTGCCAAAAGCAGGGAATGGGCAGTCAGTCACCCTAGAAACAGGGTTTAGCTTTCAGGCAATCTAGAGACTGATTAACATACTTTGTGTTTCTCTCCCTCCCCAGCTTAATCCTCCCCTTTGGGCTTTCCTTCTTCTCCCTAAGGAGACAGTCAGGCTTTCCTGCCACAAAGGTCACAGGTACAAGTCTACACGAAGAGTCTGACTTCGCAAAGTTCATCCTGACCTGTGAACCTCCTAAAAGCAAGGTGGAAGGCAACTCACATCTGGTGGATCTGGTGAATCACACGCTTTGCATTATCATAAGCTCTGTTCTTCCCAACTGCTTCTGATTGGACCCTACCTATCATTTGACACAAAGATGTCCTTAATATTATCGCACATTCTGTGTTCCCTCCCTCCCTCCCTCTTCCTCAGCATTATAGTGGGGGTGGAGGTGATTATAACTGTGGCAAAAATAAGATGAAAGATGGCTGATGGGTAATTGAATGTCCTATGAATCAGATTACTTGGAATCTAGTTCCAGTCCTACCACTAAGTGATGAACTCTGGGCAAATTACTTCATCTCACAGGGCCTCAGTTTCCTCATATGTGAAATGAGGAAGGTCTAATAGTATGTGCTTCTGAGTTGGCAAATGCTTGGACTGATAGATTACTAGATGCCCTTCCCAAATGTGTACTAGGCTTTAAAAAGCTAGGAAATTCTGTCCTAAAAACTAGAGATGGAGAACCCTAACAGGTAGGGCCAGTTTCACAAGTAGGGAGAATGCTAGCGTGAAGACACAAGGGACACGATGTCTTGTTCTAAAATATTTCCTCCAATCCTTGTCACTGTGTGCCTGACATTCTTTTAGGATTAAAAAAAAGATTTTCAGTTTTCAAGAATCCACTTTTAAAATTCAGATACCTCCAATGTCTTAGAAATAAACTGTTTTAAGCTAGCTGGGGCCTTGTTCCATGAGGTAGATGAAGGACCAGTGCCCTTGGCAGGCAGGTAACCTAAGTACTGACCTCTAGTCTCACATCTCCCATTGCCTCTTGGATATCTCAAACTGAATGTCCCATAGACATCTTAAACTCAACCTATTCAACATGAACATATGTTTATCTTTCTCTCCAAGCCTTCCCTTCTTCCTAACTTTCCTATTACTGTTAAGTAATTACTGCCTGTTAGTGCCTGCCACAAATCTTCCGGGTCCTCCTCCACTCAGCTATCAAAATGATCTTAATGTACAGGTCTGACCACATTATCTCCCTATTCAATAAACTCTAGTGGCTCTCTATTACCTCCAGAATCAAATAATGATAATAGCTAACATACATATAGTGCTTACTATGTGTCAGGCACTGTGCTAATTTACAATTTACTATTTCATTTGATCCTCAGAACAACCCTGGGAGGCAGGTGCTATTATTATCCCCATTTTACAGATGAGTAAAGTGAGGCAAACAGGGGTTAAGTGATTTGCCCAAGGTGACAGCAAGTAAATAAATGTCTGAGGCTGGATATGAATGCAGGTCTTCCTAACTTCAAGGCCTAGCACTCTATCCACTGTGCCACCCACCTGCCCACAAATCCAGTTTGGCTTTTAAAACCAGTCATAATTTAGCCCCTTCCATCTTTCCCACCTTCTTATATATACACCTCACTCCCTTCCAGGTAGTCTGTGATCCAATGGCACTGGATTCTTTGCTGTTCCTTGAACAAGCAGGCCATATCCTGAGTGTATTTTCACTGGCTGTTCCCTATGCCTTTCTCTCTCCTTCTCTCTATCTCCTGGCATTCCTGGATTCCTTCAAGTGCCAGCTAAATCCCACTTACTGTAAAAAGCCTTTCCTATCTACCACTCCTTTGCTTAATGCAAGTGCCTCCTTCTCTGTGATTACCTCAAATTTATTCTGTATATAGCCTTTTGTACATAGTTTTCTATTAACTATGAGCACCTTAAGAGTGAGGAATGTTTGGTTTTTTGGGGGGTTTTTTTGCTTTTCTTTGTAACCCTAGTGCTTAGCACAGAGCTTGACACATAGTAGGTGCTTAATAAATAAATGCTTGTTGACTGACATGTCTCAAAAGGTACTCAAACAAATCTCTTAATCACAATTTTGTTAAACATCCTACTGCCTGATTACTCCTTTCTGAGCAAGAAACTGTCAAAAGCCCTTTGAAAGGTCAGTGTCTTCATCTTCTCCTCCCCACATTCTCATCTCCCTAACATAGCCTCCCCACCCCCCCCTCGCCCCAACCTTATCTTCTTTTACAGGTTTTAGAGTTGGCATACACATTAGAGAACAACTAATCCAAACCCCTTTACTTTACTAAAGAAATAGAGACCCAAAGATTAGTGGTTTGCTCAAGGTCACAAGGCTGGGAATACAGTCCAGGCCACGACTTGGCGTCCCCAACTGCCTTACCTCCTTTGCTTATGCCAGTGCTAAGAAGTCCCCTCCATTTCTTTCCAGTTCTCCATCACTTAGTAACTTTTCTGTGATTAAAGAAAGGGCAGATCTGGACATCCAATTATCTTCTCCTGACCTTTCCTTGGCTGCTCCCCTTTCCTTTCCTGCATAGCCGTCTTCATTTCTACCTTTCCCCCTAACTGCTCCCACCATCACCACCACTCGAGTCCTCTCCTCTTCCTTCTTTCTCTATCGCTCACTTACTCACCCACCCTTTCTCTCTTTCCCTCCCTCTCTCTTCCTATCGAAATCTCTAGGACGGGGAGAGTCCTTGTCTCCGGGAAGCAAGTTCGAGCCATTCTCTCCCCCACAGAGGGCACTGAACACAGATTTTGCAAAAAGAGCCCTCCCCAAAAATGTTTAAAAATACTAATAATTAAAAAAAGAACCCTCCCCTTACCTAATCCCAAGGTTGGGATGCTCGGTCCTTCTTCCTTCTTTCTTCCCCCTCCACTGCTTACCTTTGCCCAGCAGATTCTTTACTTCCTTGCCTCCAAGTCATAACGCTTTTCGGCCCAGAGCAGAGATGGTATCTCTACCTCTCCAGATCCGCCCCCACCGCACCCCAGCTTGCTCCACTGGCAGCTGCCCCAGGCGTAGTACTGCCGCTGCCAGCACACGTGGGTTCACTGGACCAGGTTACTCAGAGCCGGGAGCGCGCAGACTGATGACGCCACCGTCGTGCCTCCCAAGCTGCGCTCCTCATTGGAGCAACTGCGGCCCACGGAGGCTACGCCCACCATGTCAACTGATGGCATGTACGAGCGGGAAGTCGAGTACTTATGGTTTGGCGCCGAGGACGCGATCAGGAGATGGCGGGTCAGGGAGCCCCCGGATCTGCTGAAAGAACCGGCTGGGGTTCCAGACAAAGGTGAGGGAGGAAAGGAGGTCTGCCCCCCGACGGACCCGGGAAAGGAAACCCTAAAAAGACCGTCGAGCAGCTCGAGAGCTGGGGGCGGGAAGGGCACGCTCGCCAGCAAAGAAAGAACAGCTCCTAAAGCCCTCGGGGCTGTGGCGAAAGTTGGGCCGGAGAGACCATTTGACTGCCGGGGGTGGAGGTGGGGAGCAAACGTCACGGTGACGCGTTCGCGTGGTCTCCGACACGTGACGGCCGACGTCATGCGCTAAGGGAAGAGGGAGAAAAAATGGCTCCTGCGGGCCTCGGCTGGTCTGTGGGCTGGTTGTCCAGGGCTATACCCCTTCTCCTGGCTCTGAGCGCTGGAAGGGCCCCGGCGCTGCCCGAGGTACTGAAGAGGGAGTCGGTGGGGTCTGGGAGGTGGGGAAAGGGGGTGATTGGCCCCGGGCCTTGCTGGCCACCACCGGCGTCGCCCACCCCTCTGGTTCCAGGCAGACGGCCGGAGTCCGGGGGTCAGCCAGAGGCGCCGGGCCCTGGCCGCCCTCCCGGCACCCTCTCCTGGACCCACCCTCGCCCCATGTCCTCATGACTCATACATGATCTGAAGTGTTAGTAAAGGATCAGCCCAAGTATTCCGCCGAAGGAGTCAAGGGGCTGATGTAGGGCTACAGGATAATTATCATATGGGAGAACGAACACCTCGTAAAATTTTAGGTCAGAACCCCGGCCTGGGGGGTGGGGTTCATCTGGGTCGGAACTCTCAATGTGGAAATCCCCCCCAAACGATGCAGATGGGCAGCTTTAGAGTTTGAGAGCTCCATGGGGGGTAGAGATTGAAGGGACTTACCCCAGGGTCATATATCCAACATGTCAGAAGCAGAACTTGAACCCAGGTTTTTCTGACTATCCTACTAATGAGCCATGCTCTTAAAGGTCAGTTTAAATGTCTGTTACTGTTTGTACAGTTAGTTATAAATGTCAGCTACTATAATTACTTAGTTATAAGGGAGCCTGGAATTGGAAGTCGGAATATGATAAATTTATGTTGTGAAATTCTTTGTGAATAGTATCTCATTTTATTCTCACAAAAACCTGGCTGGCAGACGCTATTGTTATCTCCATTTTATAGATGATGAAACTGAGACAGGTCCAAGTGACATGCCCAGGGTCACATAGACAGTAAATGTCTAAGGCCAGTATTTGACACAGGTCTAACAGACTTGGGATCTCCTGCACTATCCACTGCATTATCTAGCTTTCTCAAAGTCACTCACACTTAAGTAGCTGTGTGATCTTGGGCAAGTCACTTTTCCTCTTTAGCTCTTCAGATCTTAGATGTAGAACTAGAAGGGACCTCAGGATCCATGTAGTCCAACTCCTTCATTTTACAGATGGGGAAACTGAGGTCCAGGGACATAAGAGTATTTTATACTTAAGAGATAGGTTTTGAACTCGAGTCCTTGGACTGCAGAGGCAATGCTCTTTCTACTGTATAGTTAGTCATAGTTGCCTGGAGGGGAACAAATATTTAAGTGACTTACCCAGAGTCACACCCAGGATATCTCTGGTCCCCATTAAATCTGAGGTTGAGAGCCAGAGGAGGTTGGAAGAAATGATTTCCAAAAATCGATTTGTAACATTCTGTGAGTCTGAGCTAGCTAACACAGCTGTTACTAGTTTAATGTTTCCTAAAATGTCACTTCCTTTACCTTTCTGCCATTTTAAGGGTCAAGTCATATCCTCCATGAACAAATGCCTGCCTATAATGCAGATCTAAAACTGTAGGATGTTGCCAGTGTTGAGTTTTTGTAAAAATCTTTCATGTCTCTCCAAATCAATATGACAGGTTTGCATGAATAAATGACTGTATTTATTTAATAAATGTTTTTGAATGGTGATCTGCAAATGTGTAAGGGGCTTTTCCTCATAGATTCAGGTTGGGAAAGAGTGGAGAGTAGCAGTTGGAAGGATATTATTTGATGAAAGAATTGATACCTAAAACAAAAGAAAGTAATACATTTTTCTCTAGACCAGACTATAGGAGGAGTGGGTAGAGCCTCTTTCAAAGAATCTGGTTTATGAGTTTAACTTTTCTGTGTTGGGTGAAAAGATAATGCAATTTCATCATCCGTTTGTAAGGTAGGAATGTGCCCATTTATAAGGTAAGAAATTGGTGGTCAGCACTACTCTGACCATTTCTTTTTCTTGTCTGTTCCTGACCTTACATGTCCTCAAGGTATGCACATACTGTCCAGGGCCTGCACATGACACATCAGAGGTTGACCATTTCTGTAAGCAGAGACAAGAATTAAAACTGAGGGCACGTTGCTGTCTGACCAAACAGGGCACCATTGTGGGGTAAGGAAGAGGAATGGGCTATGTGATTAAATACAACTGTATGGTTTGAAACTTCATCTTTGCTTCCCACATTACAAACTTACAGATACATAGTCCTTATACTTTTTAATCCTTATGCCATTTTGAAGGGAAAGCCCTATGGACCACCTGTCCCATTTGACTCTACATAGCTACTGCACAAAAAAATATCATATACCTTTTGCCTAGCTAGATAGTTGTTGTTTAGTCCTTTCAGTCTTGTCTGTTTTCTTGGCAGAGATACCAGAGTGGTTTGCCATTTCCTTCTCCAACTCATTTTACAGATGAGGAAACTGAGGCAAACAAGGTTAAGTTACTTACCAAAGGTTACACAGCTAGAAAGTGTCTGAGGCCAGCTTTGAACTCAGAAAGATGAGTCTTTGTGACTCCAGGCCTGCCACTCTATCCACTTTGCCACCTAGGAGTCCTACAGACAATACTTGCTGTTAAACTTGCAAAAGTACAACCATTTGCCATTATTTCCTTTGTTTTGACATTGAAGCTAGCATTGGGTATGACGCAGAAAGGACCACATGTCTCAAGTTCAGAACCGTATCCTTCTTTGAATGTATTACAAAATGTCTCTGTACCCTTCAGCTGAACACAAATCAATAATTGATTTGAGTTCAGTTATATGACTATGCATTCTGCATTATATATTTGAAATTGAACTTTTTTTGTTTTATCAAGTGACTGTTAAGTATTTTGATCCACAAACATGTTTTTCATATCTTTCTTTGTTCCTAAAATAATTTAAGATAAGTTATTTTGAAAATTTCAACAATAGCAATTTCTCTTTTGTATTTTTCACTAGAGTACCAATAAATGTATTTTTTTAAAAGGACAAAATATTGTTACATATGTGTCTCCAATTATTTGCTAAATTTTTCATGGAATTGCTTCAAAACACAGTCTAAAGGTATCCTTCTAATCATTTTGACTCCTTCCTCTACTTTGCCCCCAGTAAGTCACCAAGTCCATTCTGCCTTCATTCTCTCTCTCTTATCTGTTTCAGTCTAATACTCTCCATTCCCACTGTTATCATCATAATCTAGCCTTGGATTCATGTATTTTTATTGTCTCCTAATTGGTCTTCCTTCTTTTAGTCCTTCTGTCCTCTGAATTGTTGTTTATTTTGTTGCAAGGTCAACTATGAGATTCCCCATGCCAACAGAATAAAGCATAAACTCTTAAGCGTGGCATTCCTCTGGACATAAGTTTTCTTTCTGACAATAGCTCTGTGATATGAATCTGGCTGTTGCCAGATTCACTGATTTCCAAGCACATTCTCATCTCCTTGCTCATGCTTTTCTTTCTTCCCATAATATTGTCCATACTTTTCCATATCCATCCTAGCCAGTCCTATCTCTCTCATGAAGCCTTCAGTGATCCTTCTAGCCCATCCTGATTCTTCTCTCTGATCTTCTGTAGCTTTATAACACATGATATCAGATGCTCCCTTGTGACATTGTTATATTGTTCTTAAACTCACAAGTAATTTTTGTAATTGTTTTTTGTGTCTTGTTCTTATCCTCTGCCTCTTTGTTTACATCTACCAGTGTAATAATGCATAGTGCTTACATAGTAATGCACAGCACTTGACAGGCTCTTGATACATATTTGTTGAATTAAATATAAGAGGGAAGAACAAGACTAAAGCACAGTCTCAAACCCTGAGGATTTTGCAGTTTAGTGGGCATTCACATCTGTACTTGAGGGAAAAAAACTTACATTTTTATATAACTTGCATTTTGTATCATCCTGTAATGAGTCACTAGTGATCTGGTGACAGGTTTGGGATACTTTTTCTAGATAAGAAGCACAGAACTCTTTCCTTATTTCCTAATAGGCACAAATAATTCTGACAGGTTGGTCCCAGACAGGCCAAGATTAAGATGGAGTGCAGCACCTCGGGTGTGCTATCTGTATAACTAGTCTACAATAAATGATGGCTGGCTGGAAAAGGAGACAGAAAGGTGGCAAAACCATCCTGCGGGTGGGAAGAAAAAATGGTGGATGGGGCAAAAGGGACTGCACTGACCTTCTCTTCTTTCAGACTAGATCTTCAGAACTGTTCCCTGAAAGAACTGGACCCACTCTTTGCTGAGGCACGTTCTGCCATTGTTCTGTAAGTGCTCTCAGGTCCCTCCTTCTCAGAGGACAGAAGCGTACAGGGGCGAAGAGCTGGGTCACTAGGGAGGGAGCCCTTCCAGGAGAAATGTGGGGGTCCTTACTTGGACAGTCCTGGATGAACAATGGGCACTGAGAGAAACAGAAGTGTGTGACAATTAAAAAGGTTCAAGAGACATAGGTTTTTGGGTGATTTAATCATTTTATTAATAAGGCCAGCAGTTTATTAATAAAAGGATGGTCAACTGG